CCAACATCATGCCTTTAAACACAACTCAACTAATAACAAAATATGTATACATTCATATATCAAAATCTTATAAGTATATAACTGAGAAGGTGTTTGCTATTGATTATTTATTGGACAGTCAAGAAGGAAAATCCATTATTAGCCACTCAAATATGATCCACAAATCACCAAGACAAGGGAAGTTCACATTCAAAACCATACAAGTAGCATTCCACATCTCCTACTTGGCTGCTAAGCACATGGCACTGCTGCATCTCAACCATCATCAAGAGAACTATTGGATTTCTAGGAGTCTTTTCTCCATGGCTCTAGTGACCAAGGAACTCAAATCCTCAGCAATCCTATTGCAGCATCTGTAAGGCATTGTGTTCAGACCAATCAGCATGTCATACTAAAGACAAGGAGACTTCTTGAGAAAGCAAGGAAGTGGGAAGAAGAATGCTGCCCTTGGGAGGAGAATAATCTCATGGCTAAGTAGCATTCGCAAGTGCTAGGATGTTCCAAGAGCTCTCAAGGTTGTGAGAACAAGAATTTGGGTTTCAGGTGACGTATTTATCCTCTGTTTAACATTGATATCTGATTTCATGAGACATTGCTACAGATCTTCACTGATCACAGTGTAAATTGCAATTTTAGAGGTAGCAACTCATGCTAATGTAATATGTGACTCTAACAAGACACAAGACCACCAAAAGAAAAAAGGAATGCCAGGTCCAGCAACGGAACTACCGGCAGTGACGGAGAATACCAGAGAGAATATAGAAGACGATAGCTGAGAAAGGCCGCTGGATGTCAAAGCCTCTCTTGAGAGATCTCGATGGCAGTAGCGGGCGAAGACCGGCTTGAGGGGTCTCGCCGGAACCAACGGGCGGCGAAGGCTTGGGTAGGGTTCGTCTGCACGAATCGCGACCTCTTCACTTAACCTCTTATTTCCGCGTGTTCTTATTGAGTAGACTCGGCCAAACTTAAGCTGACTCGTTTGAGCCGATCGAGTTTAGCTAGTCGACTCGCTTGAGTCAACCGGGTTTAGTGAGTCGACTCGCTTACGTTTTAGTGACAACATATGTGCATCAGCTGGTCTACCCAATGACCAGCTCTACTTGTACCTTCCTCACCTGAATCGGAACGACGGACAAACTGAGAAGAAACAGATCAAAGGAAAAAAAGGAGGAGAAACAAGAACAGCAGATCTCCAAGACGGTGGAATCGAACTGGTCTCTTCTACAGCGAGAACCTGATGGAAGATGACGAAGTGCTTCTCGTACTCCTTCACGGTCTTCCTGTTCTGGTCGAACAGGTTGAACAACAACAACACCTCCACCGCATCGTTCGGCCTCATCAGGGTGCCGATCCCCTGCTTGTACGCCGCTGCCTTCTCGGGCGTGGCGGCGGTATTCCCCGCGGTCGGCCACCCCGTCCCCGTCCCCATCACCGGAATGTTGGGGAATCCCAGCTTCTGCAACGCCGCCACGAGGGCGTCCACGGTGGCGTCGAACAGGTTGGTGTAGGCCTTGTTGACGCGGAAGAGGACGTAGTTTAAGGCCACCTTGAAAGGTGTTGTCGACGTAGGTGTCGAAGGGGATCGTGTTCACCATGAGAGCCGACTTGGTCGATCAGTAGTAGGATGATAATGGAGAGAGAGAGCTAAAGGAGGGCGGTGGTGGAGGGGGAGGAGGATCATAATCTATCATAAGATCATGATAGATATGATAAATATTTTGATTAAATGATAAAAAAAATCCCAAGTTTAAATTATTAGGAAAAAAGTCTAATATATTTATGTCCCTCCCAAATATCTAAACTTAGATACGTACAGTTAAACAAAGATGGATAAATTGTCGAAACAAATTTTTTGTTTTGAGAATTCATATAAAGCTTCCTATTTCTAAAAATTCAGACACAACACTTTTTCTTGTGTAAAAAAAATATTTTGCCCACTTGTGTCTTAAAAATTTAATTACTAATTTGTTCTTATGTGTTTCAGAGTAATTTTGAAACTTACAAGACTGTATCGAGCGGTCTCAAAACCTATGAAATTACATCGGAGGCATTCCCGTAAGGTCTCTTCGAAACTTAAGTAGATTCGAATGATTAGGACATTCCTGACATAGTTATTTTGAAGCTCGAGTCAATAGATGATTTAGAGGATACGGCTAAGCTTTTTATTAAAAAAGGGTTGACCTTGGGAATGTACACAAGAAGTCTTTTTTACTTTCGTGGTGTGTGCTAGTTATAAAGAAAGGGATATGCTTTTTTGAGACTTAAATATGGTCATGACGCATCAAATGGAACATGATAATGTCTAACTCACTCAACCATGTGTTACTAATCACGTGATGGTGAGGTGTCGATCACATGATGTTGAGACTACCTAACATCAAGGTGTCAGTCACTTTGGCGTTAAGGTGTCAATCACCTAGCGTCGAGGTATCAATTATGTCATTATTCTCATATTAAATTTTTAAAAAATTAAAAAAAATTATAATATTAAATTATATACATGACGTTCATATGTGGATTTGAACCTAAGATTTATCATTTGTGCATCGAGTGGTCTTATAAAATTACGTCAAGGATATTCCTAACAAAGTCCCATCAAAGCTTGAGTCAATAAGTGATGTAGAGGATTTAGTTAAGCTTTCTATTATAAAACGATTGACCTTGGGAATATATTTGATAAGTCTTTTTTTAGTAGGTTTCGAGTACTGTTATCTTTGTGTTAATTATAAAGAAGATGGTACGCTTCGTTTCTTTAGGACTTAACTATGGTCGTGATGCGTTAAATTTGGGACATGACAACATCTAACCAGCTCAATCATGTGTTACTAATCACGTGACGGTGAGGTGTCGACCACGTGGCATCGAGGCCACCCGACATTGAGGTGTCAGTCACCTGGTGCTGATGTATCAATCACGTAACGTCGAGATATCGATCATATCATTATTTTCATATCAATTTTTAAAAAATTAAAAAAAATCATAATATTAAATGGCATATATGAAATTTATCATTTGTGTAATAATATAGTAACCGAGTCTAATATCTCAATCGAGATTATTATGTCATCATCAACATTATGCCCAACGAGATTTAAGCATGACACGTCACCAAACAATCCATCAAATTAATACGATGCTTGATTGCATTAACCGTAACATTCTAAGATTAAATCGACCTTCCACGTCTAAAACATGTCCGACGATCCTACACCATTATTACAAAAGTAAATACTTATATTCTACACAACCTTTAGAAAAACCACTATAAAAGCGTCACTTGAACTCTCTCTCTCTCTCTCTAGCTCTCTACTTAGTATTCCATTCAGATCTTCCAAATTCTCCAAACTCGTTTATTAGCTTTGGTATCAAAGAGCTTTTGTTTCTATCTCTCTACTTTGCATTCAATTCAAATCTTTCAAATTCTCCAAATGCATTTATAACTTATTTATAAATGCATCAAAATAAGTTAGGAAAAGGTTGGAAAAAGTTATAAATGCATCAAATTCTCAAAATAAGTTATAAATGCATCAAATTCGCTTATTGGAATCATAGATCAATGAAAAATCAATGGAATAAGGTGATACTTAGGAAAAAAAAAATTCTAAATCGGGCTAAATCAATGCAATCGTAGATCAATGAAAAATCGACCGAATAGTTGATTTGAAACAGTTCCAATAAGCGAATTTGATGCCGATCGAGTTATGCGAAGCAGCGACGCTCGGAAGGTGGCAAAAGAGAACTCGAAGAGGTCTCATTACGGTGGCTTATGGAACTCAAACGTCGTCAACTTTGGGGAAGTCAATGCATTGCATTGTGACCAAACCAAATGGATTGACTCAACTCCTCCCTCTCCTCACAAATGGTTCGATCTATATGCAATTAATCACGTCTCCTCGTTTCCATCCATTGTCTCATTGTGCATGCACGCATATTAATACAATTAATTAGATTCAATTTTATTATCAAATCATTTGATCAAATATTAACGATATGCTAATTAATTGAAGTCTTTTTTTTATAAAAAAAATATATTTAAATTTGTTAATATATATATATATATATATACTATTTTTTTAATAGAAAATATATGGTTATTGTGATAACCATTCCCATATTTTCTAGTAATTGATATGTATCCCTCCTATTAAATGAATAAACATAAAAATCACTTATTTTTCCTTTGAAGATTCTACTTTATTTTACATAAATGGATTTCATTTATTTTATTGGATATGTGTTTCTGATTTGCTAAGCAGTGAATCATCTAATAATAATAGTAATAATTATAATACAATATTATTATTATTAGATCTCTTCAATTCAACTATCACATACATAACATGAGACGATCCTATTCTAATTAATTACCAATCTAAGACTTCTTACCATAGAAAACCTATGAGCCAACAACTACCCTCAACAATGACATTAATTACCAGCAAATCCATCACCTACACGTTAGGACTACAATGGTAATCGTCGAGGATAGTAGGGTCATTTTACCTGCAAATGGCCACAGTTGTGCTCCTGTCTTCCCCCTTCTTAAGCTCTCGATTCACCCTCGTTTTCGAGATCATATCGCGTTGGTCTCCGGCGCCAGCGGAGGACGAGCACTGACCACCGTCGCCGATGGACGTCATCGGAATTGAGAAGGCAGTTTCCAGCCGCCTCGGTTGCAGTGGCGGCCTGGCCGGAGGAGGGTGGAGGACTCTGGTCCTTCTCGTCGTTGCCATCGTCACGTCCGCTGCGGCGCTCTTCGCGTCCTTCACCTCCTCTACTGGCCGCGTCTCCATCTGGTTCTCGGTCCCTTTCCCTGTTCTCTCCTCCTACGGTGACGTCGGGTCCAATTCCTCCACGTCGTGGCCTACTCTTCCACTCTCGCATGCTCCTCCGCCGCTTGCTCGTCCTCTTCTGCCTCTTGGTCCTTCTTCGTCCCCTGTTGCAGCTGCACCACCTTCTCCGTCTCCGACTGCATCGTTCGTCGCCTCGGAGGTGCTGCTCCCTACTTTCTTACGTGGCTTAAACGTATACGTCGAGAACAATTCACTGATTTCATGTCGATACACTGCAGACGCCGCCTTCCTCTGCACATTCTCCTCCTCGTGATACCGGTGGCACGGCGACGCCTTCTCCGACAGAGGTTTTTAGGCCTTCTCATGCTGTTTCTTTGTCTTCCACTCGGAGATTAAGTGTTTGATCTCTTGTTTTGATTCGGCCAGCCTGTGAACAACACCATCAACGAAGCTGTCACCATCAATCCGCCTTCTTCTCCAAGTGAGATTTCTAATGCTGCAGAAGTTAAGGTGCCGACTTCCTTGCGAGAGGTACACGTTTAAGCTTACTCTTCCTCGATTCGTGACCAGGTAACAGTGTTCTACCATTGGCTTCATAGGTGCCCTGTTTTGCTATTGCAGACGGATCTGCAGCTCATACAAGCCAAGAGAGAGATTGCTGCTGCACCAATGATTTCGAATGACTCTGATCTTTATCCTCCATTGTTCCTCAACTTTTCAGTCTTCAAGAGGTGCGGACGAAGGAAGAGTGTTGAACTGAACGGAAATCCCCTTCTCTAATCCAAAAGTCCTGAGAAATCTAAGCTTCAAATACTTGCAGGAGCTACGAGCAGATGGAGAGAATTCTGAAGGTGTACGTCTACGAGGATGGAAACCGACCCCTTTGCCACACACCTGTGCTCCGCGGCATTTACGCCTCCGAAGGATGGTTCATGAAGCTGATGCAGGAAAACCAGCAGTTCGTGGTGAAGGACCCCGAGAAGGCCCACCTGTTCTACCTCCCATATAGCTCGCTCCAGCTTAGAACTCATCTTTACGTCCCCAACTCGCATAGTTTGCAGCCCATATCCATCTTTCTCAGGGACTACGTGAACTCGATCTCTGCTAAGTATCCATTCTGGAACAGGACGAAAGGGGCAGATCATTTCCTCGTTGCCTGCCATGACTGGGTAAGCGGTCTCCCTCTCTCTCTCTCTCCCTCTCTGCTTATGATCATGTCGTATTCCTCCTAGTGCAGGCACCTTACACAACAAAGCTTCACAACGAGTTGCGACAGAACACGATCAAAGCAGTGTGCAACGCAGATGCTTCCGAGGGGATCTTCGTCCCCGGAAGAGACGTCTCCCTTCCTGAGACGCACATCAGAACGCCCAAAAGGCCAGACAGCGACATTGGAGGAAGACCTGCGTCCGAGAGGTCTATTCTGGCGTTCTTCGCAGGACAAATGCACGGCCGCGTCAGACCGATCCTGGTCGGACAATGGCGGGGGAGAGACAAGGACATGAGGATATACGAAGCTCTGCCGGCGGACATCGCAAGAAAGATGTCGTACGCCGAACACATGAGGTCGAGCAAGTATTGCATCTGCCCCATGGGGTACGAGGTGAACAGCCCGAGGATCGTGGAGGCCATCCATTACGAGTGCGTGCCGGTGATCATAGCCGACAACTTCGTGCTGCCGTTCCAGGAGGTGCTCGACTGGAGCGCGTTCTCCGTGGTGGTGGCGGAGAAGGACATACCGAGGTTGAAGGAGATACTGCTAGGAATCGGTGAAGAGCGGTACATGACGATGCAGATGAACGTGAAGAGGTTGCAGAAGCATTTTGTGTGGCATGGGAGGCCGAGAAAGTACGATCTGTTTCACATGATACTGCACTCCATTTGGTATAATAGACTGAACCAAATCCCCGTCCAATAACATTACATACCATTCGTTTCATCCTTATATATAGTTACTGTAATATATGTTACAATTCATTGAATTTTTTTTTGTTTTTTTTCCAAAACTACCTCTATTTTCACATTGTAAACAATCCTAATTGTATCAGCTTTTATACAACTCATGTTTCTTATGCAAATTGTATCTAACGATCCAATAAATATATTGCGCGAATCATATCCATCAACTGATAAACTGATACATATCGTCCGAGATGATACATCATCTTTTCACATATTTTGAAGTTTATAGAGTTATTACAACCAAATTTATTGACCTTATAAGTGACATTCTCACTTACCAAATATCAAGATCCTAGACATCATGTAGTAGAATCAGCAGATTCATCTAAAAATTTTACTAGCTTTCGCACCTACAGTGATACCAATCACGGTTCTAAATTTCATATACTAATCGCACGGCAAGGGGCGTTAAGTCAAACTTGAACCATATGGGTTGGTCCGTAACCAAAACCGAATCCGACATTGGGGTAAAAATCATCAGATTCATCTGAACGTAAACAAATGGCTTCACTGTTCCCTGCTTCAATGAATTAATAAGCCTCGATTCATCGAATCAACTTTCTTGAAGCAGAGTGGGGACCTATTTGTTTATGTTCGTCCAAAGTTTGATGCCAAAGCATGCCAACATGTAAATAAATAATCCCTGTTTTGGAACAGAAGAGTAAACAAAGCCAAGAGACTGGGGAAGGTAGGGAGGAGAGCACAAGCAAAACTCCTGTTCCTAACCCTATAATGTGACTATCATCAACTCATGTTTTAAAGCTTCTTAGTAACCTAGAAACAGATCTAAGCTAAATCAAAGAGACCCTATGTGCTGCAACAAAGCTAAGTTACATAAGCAAATGTTCCTACTTTTTCTGGGAAGTAAACAAGCTATTTTTCACTGGAGAAAAGCCTCTCGGGAAGTCCAAACCAGTTGTATATCATGATGATTTACCAAAAGAAAAAGGAAGCAAAGTGTTTTTTGTTGAAGTTTTACTGCAGAGTATCCCAAATTCTGAAAATCCATGAAATGTTCTAAAAAAGTGAGATAACGACCGATGAACCGATTGAAATAATTTATGATGAATGAATCAATCTCATTTATGAGGGAAAAACTAGAAAAAACTATACTAATTTAGAACAAATTACACTAATCATAAACCGAGTAGTTGCACTCAGTAAACATCACTGGTTCATTCATTGCCGACCGGTTCAACCTGTTCAGACTATTATGGACCGAACATGTCTCAGTTGTTGGGAGTGTTTCTAAAATTTTTAGAATTAAGGACATTCTGCAGTAAATTTTGAATGAGGGACGTTCTATGGTAAAAACTCAAAGTTGGGTCTTCTTCTAAATAAATTGGCCACGCAATTTCATAGAAAAGATTCTTTGATGTAGTTTACTCTTTTTTCGAAGTTTAGCCACACTGGAAAAGCCACAAGACTGTGGTGCTTGTGTCAGCTTTCCAGTCCTTTCATTCCTTTGTTCTTTGGCTGAGATGGACAGAGATGCCTTCTGAGCACATTTCTTTGACATATATGCTGCTACCATCTCTTGTCTCTTTGCTTCACTGTCAGCTGGTGCACTAGAAAACAGGGTGTTCTTTAATGGGATGTGTGAAATCCAGGAGAACCATCCTTTTCTTGAGCACATCAACTCATCCTTACGTCACTGACGAATCTTGTGAGGTCCTGCAACCCTAACCCAATACTGAGCTTCAAACCAGCATGAAGGATCATTAATGATCAATCACCCACCATCCTCAGATCTCAACAAATATTCTCTCCATTGATACTCAACCTTTGCCAACTTATAAACAAAGTAAAAGAGATGGATTGATTAAGTGGTCTTGAGACAAGGATAGAATTTGAGCAGTGTCAACAACCTACATATTTCAGCCTCCAAAATGAGGAGGTTATTCATCCTCAGACAACACAATGACAAAGTCAGAGTTTATACTGAGTCCTCAACTAATAAAGATCTATGTAAATGTAACAAGACAAGTATCCATTGTAGTCTTCAAGATGCAGATATCATTTACTAATCAAAGTTAAAGAAGAAAGAAGATACAAAATAATGAGCAGCAGATATCAAAATCGCAAATTTTATGTTGTTCCTCTAAATAGAGAGTTGATCAGGACCAAGGTTTGCAAAAGCTTTGGCATGTCTTGGGATAGTTGGTGTGCAGGTGAATAAACCAACAAAAACATGCCCAAAACGGCTCTAGGGTTGTAACATGCAAACTATCCCAAACCAAGATGCTTATACCGCCAAAGATCCAACAACGACCGTAATGAATCGGAAAATTTCCGAATATATTCCCAAATGAATCAAAATCCAGAATTATATGATCTATATCCCTCTAACAAGGAAAATAAATAGAAAAATATCATCTTTTTGGCCGCAAAGATCCAATTTTTATCAAGTTACTCATCAGAACCGATCTTCCCAGATTCAAAGAAATAGAAGCCCAATCTCCGATTTCACTGATTTCAAAGAAATCAGTTCTATTCAACCACGAGCGAAATGGACACGACCTAATATACTTTTGATCAAGTTTCGAAATCCTCCCTCTCGCCCTATAACTTTTCCGATCAAAACGAACAAGATTTAAACTTCATCAAGCAAAGAAAGACAATAGTTACGATCGCCAAAGACCGGGACGAGAAGACCAGAAGAGGGACCAAAAGTTGCAGATTTACCCAAAAGAACCCACGCTTTTCGATCAAAAACCCGAGCGAGAGAGAGAGAGAGAGATAAAAAGGCTACCAAAGGGCACGCAGTCAATCGAGAGAGGGAATCGAGAAGCTTGATTTTCGCCAGGTATTCTCGAATTCACTTGATGCAAGTGAGGAAGCGAGCCAACGGTAGGGTCGACGGCGAGGGACCTGACCGGAATCCGGCGGTCAATCACCGAAGGGTTGGTTCCCGACCTGCACCAAGCGAACCCGAGAGTGTGGCGACGAGAACAGAGGATCGGGGGTGCAAGCAAAGGGGGAAGGGGGTCCTAACAACCCAATTTGATCGGGGCATTAATGCTCGCGGACTTCAAGAAGGGGACTGAGGTGGATTTAAGAAGGCAGAATCGTCCGCGACGAAAGGATAGAATCGTCCATTCGTCCATCGCCGACCCCTTCCGTGTCGGCAGCACGTGCACGTCTCACAGTCACGTGATCATTCGCAGAATGATGTGCCCTTTTCCCTCTCTCTCTCTCTCTCTCTCTCTCCGGCCTTTTAAAGCTGGCCCACCTCACACAGCTACACCATTGGATGAAGGAGGAGGGAAGGAAAAGGAGAAGAAGAAGCATCTTTGAACTCATTGGGTGATTCAATTTCGATTCCACCATTCGTGAAGTAGAACCAAAATTGATGATTTTGGTTCGATTCCAAATGGATTTAAAAAAATTAAAATAAGTATTAATAAGGTGTAAATCTTAATTAGGTCTCAAACTCCTAAACCACCGGCCAATTCAGAATTAGAAACCTTACTGTTCAGCTTACCCTAACGAAATATCGTATTTACATCGGCATTGATGTAATTGATAGAAGATGAGATTTCTTCCTCTCTATTCTTCTATTTTGTCGAGGAAAATCTTCTATCGAAATTCTTTCTTCTAATTTATATAAATAGAAGAGGGAACATGTTAATGTATTGAAGCATTTTTATTTCTTCAATAAAGCTAAAGCTTCTTATCTTCAATAAAGCTTCTTCAATAATTATTATCTTTTATTCTTTTCATCAGTAATTAGTTATCGAGTGACAAATAGATCGATTGACATCTACGTCAAAACTAATGCAAATATCAAGTGATTCTTTTGTCACTTAGACAAATGACTACGTCAATGTAAATATAAATGCAGTAAAGGATCATTTGGCAATTACATTAGCATCAATGCATATGTAAAATGGTTCTTACATCTCGTTATCGTTCTCCTCATCTATAATAATCATCCATGGCTTTTGACGATGTTGTTGTTCGCCACTATCGATGTCATCTATCATCACTAACTGAAATACTAAAATTATCTTTTTATCATATATTTTTCATATTTTTATTGATAAAATCGATAATATTATTATAAATGGATCTAGATATTTTATTTTCGTAACTATACGAATATCAGTATAACTTTTTAAAGTGTAAATATTAAAATACTAAAGATAATTAACTAAAAAGAAGTAGGATAATAAATAATTAGCCCCTATAAGTCTAACTAGACAATCTGACCATTATGTGAAGAATCTTGTTAGAGATTTCAATATTCATTAAAATAGAATTACTAACATGTTTGATGCACTTGTCACTTTAACAACATGTTCGATTGAGTCATTTTCTAAGCCAAGTATTTACACTCAAGAACCAAATAAACTGTTTGGTGAATTAGAAAATGGAATGATTAGGCTAAAATTTTGGTATATATATAAACATATAATTAGAAAAGCAAAAGAAATGTCATGAAACAAAAGATGACATTAGTATAGTTTTTTTTTTTTGGTGAAATTGATTTTAATTTAAGACAAATAATTGTACACCTAAACTACCAACTTTAAGCTTTCAGATAACTTGGTAATTGTCAAAATTTGACAAAAACAACTACAATAATTTGCAATACCATCATCATATGAACTGAAAAATTGTTCCACCAATAATTTATCTTGTAGTCCTTTAAACCCAAATTTGCTAACATTTGGATGAAAACGCTTCTTAACTAGCCAAAATGACAATGTCTTTTTAGCACCCTTTCAAGGATACAAGAATGTTGTGTTCATATGACAAAAAAAGCGTGTGCTTCATAACATCTTTACAAAAAAGTTGGGCATCACATTTTCTTTGTATGTTACAGAAAGAGATGCACAAATTGTGCATATCGTGGCCCACCAAAATCATTTCCAGTTCGACACAAAATCCTTCTCCAGCTTTCAACTCGATCACTATCAAAGTTTAGTTAATTGACGATGAGGCTGCTTGCAGGAGAATCCTCTTGATTTCTCAAATGTAGGATGCTCCATTAGTTCTTTTGCAGATGGCCGCTTTATAGGGTCAGGATCCATCATAGCCTGCATAAATTTCACAAGTATCAGATGCCCGCACAGCAGTCTGGTCGATTAAATGCTCTTCTTTTATTACCACCATGTCATACATTTTTGTTAGCACTAGAAATCCTGGAATTCAGTTGATAGTAACATTCCTAAGGAAGCTTTTTTTGAGTTAACAAAGGATTTCTAGCATGGCTGAGAAATTGCTAATAGCATCAAAATATAGTAAAGCATGAATGTTTACAGGTTCAAATTAGTTCACTTAAATTTCTAATCATTGTATGGAGTATAAGATATACTTCATTCCTACCTTCTTAGAAAACTAAGTTACTTGGAGAATCCAAGGGGTGAAGTTTCATTCATGTGTTCCAGAGATATTACATTAAGGGCAATAACAGGATGATCTTTTCAATTTCATAGCATGCATCTTATCCACCAAGCAACAGGCTTTATTCAACTTGCATTCACTATTTGCACAAAAAAAATTAAAAAGTGAAAAATTACTGCAAAGAAAGTTTTATCACAAGCATGGAGGATATACCTTGAGTAAATTTTGAAGCTGCACAGTGTACCCAGGTAGCAATGGAATTTTGCCCTCTCTGAGGTTTGAGAACTGAGGACCAGAATCAGGCAAACGGGAACCCTTCACAAGCTCATAGACAGATGCTCCCAAGGAGAAAATATCAACCTTATCAAGATGCTCATACTTGTCGTTTAACATCTCTTGAGGCATGTAACGTACATCACCTTCTTCGATCGGTAAACTCTTGTCTATAAGTGTTGCACAACCAAAATCTCCTAGCTTATAAACACCATCTTTCACATAAATATTTTCAGGCTTCACATCCAGGTGGGCTATTCCTCGTTCATGCATAAAGTGCAATGATTTGGAAATCTGTAGAACATCCAAAACAATTAATTTAAACAGTTGAATGAATTAATTCACATAGTAGTAACATCATTACAGGAATAAGCAGATGCAGTTTTTTTAAATGGCATTTCTTAAAAAGCATGAGTAAGACGGACCAATTTTAAAATAGAATACATGAAAAGTTAAAGAAAAAAATTATAATCGGCTTTTGCTCATATCCTGTGAGATTAGTGTAACAACAGGGACAGTATGTACACAGAAGCCACCAGAACCTCTGCTCATGAATCAATATGTTTTAAGATATGGCTGGTAGTTCCTTGGATTATCTTATGAGTAGGTTACATATTATCTATTTATTAAGAATGCATGTTTCACTAAACCAAGCTATCTTATCT